CGTTGTTTAAGGTACTCAAACAGCTTATTACTCTACTGCTATACTACAATTGATGGAAATGTTACAGGGTAAATTGGCAAAAGAGAAAGCTGCGAAAGAAAAACTCCTTTCTCAGGCTGCATCCATCAAGAAGGAGAGAGAACAACGTGAACTTCACATAAAATCTGAGGAGGACATGGTTAGAAGGAAGGCTGCTAGGGATCTGCAGAAATATGTGGATGATATTGGGAAGTTAGAGAAAGAGTTGGTTGACTTGAAACTAAAATCTGATTCTGAAAAAATAGCAGCACTTCGGAGATGTGTTGATGAAAGGAATGAAAACTTCTCAAGAACAAAGAGTACTCCAAACATGAAGGGGAACAAGAAATCAGATGCGTCTCAGACAATGGTGAGCCGCCAAGACAACTTGGCTGCTGGAAGTTTAAGGCGTGAGCAGGAGTGTGTCATGTGCCTATCCGAGGAGATGTCAGTAGTTTTTCTGCCATGTTCACATCAGGTTGTGTGTCCTCAATGCAATGAGCTCCATGAGAAGCAAGGGATGAAAGACTGCCCTTCGTGTAGGACTCCAATCCAACGTAGGATTCATGCTAGATTTTCTCGGCATTAGATGATAGGATAGACTTTCCTGAATGAACGGGAATCGTGAAGAAGAAATACATTGTACTTCCCCCTTCCCTTCCAAAAAAAAAAAGGAAATAAACATGAAAGAAAAACAGAATAGACAAAGGAAGAACTCTCCCAAGGCACAGTTGAGTGTAAAGACCGTTTATGCTTTTACATTTCGAAACATAATTCAGCACAATGAGTTTTTATATAATAGAGTAACTTCAATTATATTAGGTCTTCTATCACTGACTTATTGGAGTCATATGATGCCTCTTCATCTCCAATATCTACTTGTGCTTTTTCTTTTTCTTCGTGAAGTTACGTCAGGTTCGATCCATTTTTGCACCTTGAAGTGCATCAAGTTATTTTGGTTTGGACAATCTATTTCTTATTCTCCAACTTAACGTTGCATTTTTTATCACCATTTTACGAATTTTACCATTTAATCAATCATCAGTTTTTTAAATTTCATACATTTTATCATCTAGTTTTCCCCCTCATTCTATCATTATATATTTTTTACCATCTGAATCATTTTTTCTGGTAACCAAAAAAAATAAGGAAAAAAATGAAATGTGTTTCTTCATGTGCATAAGTTAATCTCAAGTAATTTCTAGAAATTCTCCTATATACTTTTTTAAATTATTATTTTTTATTTGTGTATAAATTGACTTCAGTTTATGTAGAAAGCTATTACTTTTTTTTTCTTAGAAATACTCAGAAAATCTTGTAAACACAAGTTGTGTTAGCACTAAAATAATATTATTTTGCAAAATTTATATTAAAAATTTCATTAAGTAAGTTAAAATTTTGTTATACATTTAGTAAATTAATAAATTGAATAAATATTTAAAATAAAATAGTAAAATATGTGAGAAAGGAACTTCTTATTGGGTAAAATTTGCAAAACAATTGATATCTGACTTATAAAATATGCAAATTAGTCTATATCATTAGATTATTTACTTCAATTTATAGATATAAAAATTGAGATTAAACAGAATTTTTTCTTCTTGAAATAAGAACCCTACAACAGAAAGATAATTACCGCACAAATTTTGGAATCTCACGTTACCCATGTAGGTCCCCGCCCCCAATTTAGGAGGCAGAAAATTGATATTGTAGGACACAAGAATTTTCTAAAAGATATTTGAGTTTTATTCATTCTTTTGCTGCCTCTAGTTTAAAACATACGTGATTTTAGTTTTTTCTTAGTAAATCAGGTTTCTTTAAATTTAAAATTAAATAAATCTAATTTTTCATGTTCGATTTTCTTAATTTAATTAGAATGTATTGGTAGTAGTATATATACATGTATTTTACTCTTTCACTCAACTATGAATTGTCATGTATGACAAAAATTATATGATAATTAAAGGATTTAATATCATGTTTTTAGATTCTTTTAATTTATGTGAATGGAATGTTTTTTTAATGAAATTGTATATTTTGTTTGGTAAGTTGAGTGAGAGAAGGTTGAATATAATATAATAATAATCAATTCAAATGATTTTGATTACAAAGAAAACATCCAAAAAAGATAGATTTTCAGAGTAAAAGAAGTTGAAAAGTTAAGATTATTCTTTAGCCTTTATTTATATTTTTAATTTTTAAATATATATTTTTTAATTTAATGATTTAGATGTGTCATTATTATATTATTAAATTGAAAAAAATATACAATAAAAACTTTTAAAATCATAAACGCTATCATTGTAGAATAAAAGAATACTTAGTGTACGAAACTAAAATTAATCTATTATTATATAACGAGGATAATTTTACATTTTCTTATATGGATATTGCTCAATTATATACAATAGGACAGTTTTTTGTGTATTTTTTAAAAATGAATACGCATTAAAAAAAAATAGGAAGACGTATACAAAAAAGGATTAAAAATAAGAGTATTTTTTATTTTTTAGTTTTTAAAATTAATAATTAACTTTGAAGAATTATATTTAAAAATAAGTTAAAAATGCTTATTTAATAATTTCAATTTTAAAAGTATTGTAGACAAAGAAAAATGACGTGAAGAAATCAGTATAAAAATGAAAATATAATTTTGACATATTTTTAGTATCAAGTTAAATGACTTGATTCAATGGTTTATGGAGAAGTAAATATTATTAATAAAAAATGAAATAAAAATAAAAGATACATCGTATTAAATTTCAAAAATTATTTTAATAACACAATTATCAAATTATTTAAACAAACTGATTAATTAAGTTGTAGTTTACACCTGATACAAAGTTAATGTAGAAATGTTTTTTTCAAATATATTGCACAATAAATAATATATTCATATAAGATCAGAGCCACATAACACAAATAATTTATATATAAATTTAAATATTATTAAAAATATATAAAATTATAATTGATATATTAAACTCAACAATATGGAATAACATGAGTGCAAATATAGTGGTACTTCTTCATTTTTAATTTCATAATAAATTTATTAAAGTATATAAATTTTAAATCTCATCATTATCAATAGGTCGATATGTCCGAGTGGTTAAGGAGACAGACTTGAAATCTGTTGGGCTTCGCCCGCGCAGGTTCGAACCCTGCTGTCGACGTATTTCTTTTTTATTATTATTGATCTAAGTATTTTTTTTTTTTAAGTTTTGTTTTGTTTGAAAAGATAATTTCACGTATTTCTTTTTTATTATTATTGATCTAAGTATTTTTTTTTTAAGTTTTGTTTTGTTTGAAAAGATAATTTCACAATAAGGAAGCATGTTTTTAAATAAATGACACAACTTTATTTATCTTTTTGAATTAATGTTGAAAATTATATTTAGAAATACGATTTTAGATTTTTTTAAATAAGTTTGAGGTTGCATCTATGATATAAACATGATTTTGTAATTCTTACAGTTTTATTTTATTTTCTTTTGAAAAGTCAAAATCGTACTCATAACCCAATTTTTATTAAAAATAAAATAAAATTCGTGTTGGAAGATAGGATTTTTTAGAGTAAAATCATATTTTTAAATACGATTTAAGTAATTTGCTTAAAAATTAATTTTAAAAAATTACAAATTTTTTGTGTTTTCTACTTTTTATCCTCATAGAAAGTGACTATACATGATGATTAGTTCCACATTATATGGCAAACATATATATTCCTGTGACAGTGTAACTGTTGTGCATTGCGTTAAGCCTGTAGGGTATACATTGCGAAACAGACCTTCCTGTTTTACTGTATTGTTTTTTATTCATTATATTGATAGTTGAGGGTGAAATTCCATTTGAATCTTCTATATAATGAATATCATTCACTCATATATATGTTTATTGGGATCAAACTTGAACAAGATGATTCATAATTTATTTTCTACTTCCAGGCATAAGTTACTGGATGTAGCTTTAACTTTTTTTGAGTTATTATTTTGTAAAAGGTGGAACCTAAAAGCAGTGTGCAAAAAGGTGAGTGCTCATTTTCCCTGGCATTCCACCTTTATTTGCTCTTCACAAGGTGTTTGAGGCCATTCCAACTTGATAAGTTGATGAAATGGGGTCCCAAGTCCAACTCACGTTTTATTGAGTGAGATTTTCTTTGTCACAGAAGAGAAGTTCTCAGATCTTAGATGCAGTGAGTGATGGTCAACAGTCATAACCCCAGTCTTTGCTCTTTAGACTATTTTGTAAAATGGTAATGGGAATGGTAAAGGTAATGGTAGGTTAGGTTCATGGGAGATGGGTACGCCGGGTTTCCTGTGACGTGGAGTTCCAAATAAGAAGAATCTCACTTCCATGCCCACCATCACCACCACCTCTACATGTTGCTCATTTATCATTAATATTATTTTCATTACTTAATGGTCTTTCTTGTGCATCTTAGTCAAACAAGAAAAACAATAAACAATATGAAGTATATGCATACACTTCAAAATGGTTAACAAAAATGCATGTACTGTTCCATAAACGATATTGTTTTTGCGTGTGTTGTGTCCATTACACAACTAGAAGTAGATCAATCATTTTTTTTATGGCCATACTTTAACCATAGACATCCTCGTTTCTTTATTTATTTTTCTTCCTTCCTTGTCTCTCTGTTGAATTATGGCATCTCCTCAAATAACTATTCCATTTTCCTAAGGTTTCATTCACAGATGTCAAATGCCACCAACTCATTTCCTAGAAGTGGCTTCCCCTTTTCAACTCAAACCTCGACAAGAAGCAAAGCAAGAATGAACACTACTCCCTAATCTAATCCATCTCAATATTTATTCAGTTTTTGTTTCTTCATTTTCCTTCCACGCCATATATTATCCAACTAGGCCTTCCACTCCCACACAAAATCCATGTCTTGCCAAACGTAACCACAAGACAGAGATAAAAAAGCCACAGCTCTGCAATTAATTAACTCCACATCTTTTATGATCTCCCCAAGGCAGGACCCTCTTTTGTCTCACACCCATTTCTCAACCATGCTTAAGCTCCTCAACAAGAACATTCGCCGCCTCCTCCGCCGTCTCCGGTGGCCAATTCGCCGCCGCGCGAAGCCCAAAGTAGTAGTCATCAACAAGCTCGGGAAGAGCGCTCCAAAGACCCAAACCGAGCCAAGCCCGACCCTTTCCGCGACGGTTCATCCGAACGCGCCATTGGGTACTCCTAAACCAATCCGGGTGGCGACGTTCAACGCCGCGCTGTTCTCCATGGCCCCGGCGCTCCCGAAAGCCGCAGGCGAGTTGGGGGAGCAAACCGGCGTCGCCTCGAAGTCGAATTCGCGGCCCAGAAGCATACTGAAGCAGTCGCAATCAGTCAAAAACAGAGTGGAGGAGAACGTTGGTTGCAGACCGAAGATGCGGGTTTCCATAAATTTACCAGACAACGAGATTTCGCTGCTGCGAAGCCGACAGTCGAGCTTCTCGGAACACGACAAGGAGGGGTGGAAGGCGTGTTCGTGGGGGGGAGGTGGGACCCACGTGAGTAACAGAACGGTGGTTGAGGTTCTGAAGGAAGTGGGCGCAGATGTTTTGGGTCTGCAAGATGTGAAGGCTGAGGAAGAGAATGGGATGAAGCCTTTGTCGGATTTGGCTGCGGCGCTGGGAATGAACTACGTCTTCGCTGAAAGCTGGGCACCTGAGTACGGCAACGCTGTCTTGTCCAAATGGCCCATCAAACGCTGCGTCTCTCACCAAATCTTTGATCACACTGATTTCAGGTCAGTTTCTCTTAACTAACTTTTCATTTCAACGCTGCACACCTTCATCATTTTGTTTCCGCACTTTCCTTGTTTATGTTAAGGTTATGTTTTTTGGGGTCTCTGGAATGGAACAGGACTCAACTGGGAAATTGAGTCACACTAGTTTTGATTGTTCAAAGAAAACACGAACCAAATGGACTTTCATGTTATTTTAATTTTGTTGTCTTTAATGATTTTTTTTTTATCACAGTCGATAGAAATAGTTTAAGAAAGAACGGGTAAACTGTCATCTCAATCAACTAAACTAGTTTGATGATTTTTTTAATAATTATTTTAAAGATGGGATTTCTGATTGGTTAGTATATTGACAATATATAGAAATTAAATTTATAAAAACTTTCTACACCTAATCCTTATCGTACATTTGTCTGACCCGCTTACAAAAATGCGATTATTATTTTACCATTAAATAAATGCATGTAGCAGGTACTTTTCTTTAATTTTTTAAAGAAAAAGAAGTGAAGTTACGACACCTTTTGGTTTTCTGCACTTGTATGTATTCCGAAGAAGCTTCTCCGTGCTTGTCATTGCAAAGAAAAATGAAAAGAAAATCACTTTTCTGCTCATAAAGTAGCCAATTATTCCAGCATTTTTGAATGAATAAAGAATTCTTAAACTAAATATATGGGAAGTTTCCTAAAGCCATTCTGAAGATTTTCTCATTCACTAACTACTCTCACTCGTTCAAACCAATGCTTAAGCAATGATCGACCTCCCATTTAGCTTTACGCTAAAAGTTCAGTGTTAACATCAATCCTGAAACTTGGTCTTTTATTCTTTCCTTGTTTTCTTCTACGTGGCAACGGCAATGATAAATGCACGACATGCCAACTGTAATAGCTGTAGGCAGCGGTGCAGAGTTGATCCCACCTACTCCTTAAGGATTCTCTGTTGTCATCATTCATCGATGTTCCCTTCACAATCATATTTTATTTTGAACGTCAATCGGATTTTTTTACAACTTTACAGATGCATAATTTAGTAGTCATTGAATATTGCAACGAAGGAGCACCGATTTCAGCGTTTTCTTCTTGTTTTATATAAACTTCTAGATTCTCTAAACACAAAATGGTGGTTTATTTCCATGAATACTATAACAATAACAATAACAACTCCTTTAAAATATAAATATTTGTTTGGTTTGTGTTTCTGAAGAACCAGATTTGCACTATGTGCAGCATAAAATAGTTCAAGTTTGGTGAGGAAATTTGTGTGACGCAACTGAGGTAAAGTTTGTCTGGTCTCGGAGAATAGTCACAATATGTACTTTTCTTGCTCTAGTTCATCATGATTATATTGAGAAATTTGTTACTTTCCTCCTAAGGCATCCATTGCTATAATAACCATCTAATGAAAAAAGATTGTGGAAATCCAAATTCCAACCCGTGAAAGCAACCTGGTTAGAACGATTGAACTGAAGAATTCCAGACTGACTTAGCAACAAGGATGAATATGACATGCAAAAAATTGTAATTCAATGAATTTTTGGCCACAGGAATGTTCTTAAGGCCACTATCGATGTGCCCCAAGTAGGTGAACTGAACTTCTACTGTACCCATCTTGATCATCTTGATGAGAATTGGCGAATGAAGCAGGTAAATGCAATAATCCAATCTAGTGATGAGCCTCACATCTTAGCTGGAGGCCTTAATTCACTAGATGAATCTGATTACTCCCAAGAAAGGTGGACAGATATTGTGAAGGTATGCATGCCAGTAAAGTAGGACCTCTATTATTTGTTGCTTTCTGGTCTCACTCTTAAAAATAACAAAAATAGAAATCAATTTTCTTTGTTGGGACCAGTACTATGAGGAGATGGGAAAGCCAACACCGAAGGTTGAAGTGATGAAATATCTAAAGAGTAAAGACTACACTGATGCTAAGGATTATGCAGGGGAATGCGAGTCAGTTGTCATGATTGCCAAGGGCCAAAGTACAAACACAATTTTCAAACCCTCAACTCAGCATATTATTTTCACTACTCTGATCACTAAAATTGTGAACATTATGCAGGTGTTCAAGGGACATGTAAATACGGAACTAGGGTAGATTACATATTATCATCATCATCATCATCATCAAATTCTCCTTACAAGTTTGTTCCTGATTCTTATTTAGTCCTTTCTTCCAAAGGGACTTCAGATCATCACATAGTGAAAGTTGACGTGGTGAAGGCAAATGACAGCCCTGAAGAAAATGCGACAAAGAATACGCAACAACCAAGACAGAGAGTTGTAAAAATTACACATTCCACTCCCTCAAAAGGTATCTGGAAAACACACACTTGACGCCTAAATTGATTTCCCTTGGTCAAGATTAATATGATGATGATAATATTTTGGAATTGGGGCATTTTGTTTTCTTCCTGCTTCGTCGTCTGACCTTCTCTACACAGCTTTTTTCAAATAGATATAGAAGCATATGACAAAATAAATATGGATCTTATATGAATTTATATGATAGTTTTATATGAATTTTTTTATATGAATATCACCCTGGAATTATAAGATCTTTATTCATGGAAAACATGAATTATAAGATCTTTATTCATGAAAAAATTCAAATAGATAATATTTTTTTATGAATAAAGATAATATTTTAATATGGATCTTATAAATATAAGGTTTTTAAATTGAAGAAAATTTATTATATGAACAAATTTTTTTAATTTGAAACAATTTATATTTATAGAATGGATATTAAAATATTACTTTAAAGAATTTATATTTATAAAATTGGAATTGAAATCTTAGTTTTAATTAATAAGAACCCAATGAGGATGGACCACCTTTTTCAATTTATTGCCAAAGGTGGCACAACCATAATAGGTAGCCCAGAAAGGACCAGACAAAAGTGACATGTTCGAAGCAAACATCAAAGAGGTTTTGTTTTCGATCGAAAGAATCATATAAAACCTAAGCCCACTTATAAGATTAGCAGAAGATAGTTTCTACCGTGAGAATTAAGGGATAGAATGGCCTCATACTTTATTCTCGATGTTTCTGTAAACGTTAATATTTTGTTTAATAACAAAAGTTTCTCCGTCTCATATTTATTATAATATTAAAATTAATTTTTATATCTCATGTTTATTATAATATTAAAATTAATTTTTATATTTTAAGTATTACCTGCTTTAAAAGTTTTTGTTTATCTAACACTAAGAAAAATTTCATTTTCTACATAATCTATTAAATAAATTTTTCATAGAATTAGATTCCAATACTATATTATATTTATTGAACAAAATATAAAATTTTTGAAATGTTTTTGATATTGTCCTATTCATCAAAAAATTTGGAACTCTAAACGGAACTAGTTACATGATTTTAGCAATTCTGAAAATAAAATAAAGAGTTGAAATAAAATTTAATAGTTAATAATATGATTATTAATTAAAAACATAAATCATAGACATTTTAAATTAAAGAAACTAAGTATAGTTAAATATGATATTTTCCTTCCTTAAATTAAATTAAACTGAAGTTTCTGGATCTACTAATGGAATTAAGAAACACTAAGAGTTGTGATTTTCTATGCTGTAATTGATGTTTTGATATAAATGTTTTATTACATGCATACACAAACCTTTCATTTGATTTATTTATAAAATGATTAAAAAATGTCTATTTTTATATCCAATAAGTTTCTAGAGTCATTTAATTTCTTTTCTAATAAACCTTACAAAATGTTTTTTTATATATTTCAGCATAAATTTCAAAAAATCTATTCTGTAATTAATGGGAGATGATTTTTTTTTTTTAATAAATAGATGCATAAACGAACACTTATACAAAGAGTTAAGCCCATTACAAAGAAAAATCCACTATTCTCATTATAAAACTACACAATCAACTATAATGTTTCCTCACTGTATCTTTTTATATTAATATGAAATAATTTCTTTTTATTTCTTATTGTTTGACTAATCCTTAATATAATTTTACATTTTGCCTAATCTAAAAGATAAAAACAAAATTAAGAAATCATTTTTTAAGCATAAAGAACTATTGTCTAGAGTGACGTATACGAGCCTCATTACTTTCATGATGATAAAGAGAAAAACAATAACAATGTGTAATTTATTTTCAAAATTACTAAGTAATTTTTGGAAAATAAAATAAAAAACGTAGGTAAACCATATTTAAAAATATTATGATTCCATAAAATGAAAAGAATGTATACCTTTAATCATGATTTTACTTTTAATTTATTAATCTTTAATCACGACTTTAGTTTACTTTATCTATTTATTTTTATATTTGGTTAGAAGTGTTACTTCTTGATTTTTAAAATTCAATATCAAAATCATATTTACAAACTCAATTTTTTATTTTTATTTAAATTTTGATATTTTAGGAATTGTGGTTAAATTTTATTTTGTTGAAATTGAAAGGTAAAAAGTAAAATAAACAAATGAAGAAGTTGTGTGGGATATAGGTGATATACAATTAGTTAATGCATTCCATGGAGAATTAAATGGTTCAATTAGTTCTAAATAAGCTAAAAATATTCATTTTGGTGAAATGAATATCATAATTGTGATAATTATTTATACTAACAATCACAGAATAACATTTTTTTTAATATATTATTACTTCTCCTTCATCTTTCATTTCTTAGCAGGTGAATGAGGGTGATTCAAAGGTACTTGATTTTGGTGTGAGGAAGGTGGTGGTTGAGTTTTCAAGGGTCAAAATATCTCATTGGTCCCTTGCTGCAGTTATGCTCCAAATCACTGCATCCAATATTCCCAATTCTCTTACCAAGAAAAGGAATGAAGATGTCATTTGAAGAAACAAAAAAGTTCTCCATGAGAAACCATTACTTTAATAAAAATATCATGCTCTTCATTTTCTTATATTTCAACAATTTCGGCCACAAGCCCCACAAAATTAATTGTTCTGTAGTTGTCAATTATTCCAGAATAATACACATCCATTTTGTTCATATGCTAGTCCAGTTCTGTACCAAAGAAAACATGGAATGCTTACAACCTTACTAACATTTTAAGCTATCTATCTGCACATTTGTCTGATATATAATATTAACTGCCAACTCCGTTATAGTAATGATTGAAGTTGAAGCTGGGTAGCTTAGTAATATTATATAGGAGAAGCCAAACCAGTTGGGCATGTTAACAAGAATAAGCCAATTAAGCATCATAATAAGAAGCACCCTGATTAACCCCCAACACAAGGGAACATGTGCACTTAGCTTTTGAGAGACATTTATGCCAGCCTCTCGTTTTTGGGTTGTGATTCATCCTTGTTTCCCTCTTACATCAACTTTCCCAATCCTATCATGATCCACTCAGTTGACAAAGCAAATGGTAAACATTTAGAATTAAGAAGTTGTGACTCGGGGAGAGAGATACAAGTATCGATGGAGCTAGCTAAAAATGCCATCACTTTTTGCATTAGAAGATTTCTTCTGATACAACAGTGACACACTTGATTCACCAAAACTTGATCATACTCTTCTCTTGCCATTATATAAACTCTAGCAAGAAACAAAATTTGTACATCCAATTTGGGTTTGTAACAGACAAAAAACATGAAAAAACAAAACAGTATTCTATAATCTAAGTCTACGAACAAATTATCCTCACACTAATCTCAATCTGTACTCAGAATCCTGGAGCTCGAGCTTCTTTCTTCCCTAGAATTAGTAGACTGGTAATCACTTTCTATGGTATATGATTGATAACCGGTTGGACTAGAGAGCTGACCAGAGCCACTACTGCTCACAGATCTATCAATATCAAGCCTCCCAGCAACAAGAGGGATTGGCCGTTCAGGTATTGAGGGCACCGATTCATCAGTCTCCATCATTTTAACAACCTGATCCATTGTTGGTCTAGCATACAACTGCGGATGAGAACAAAGCACAGCAATTAACACATACTTCTCAAGAACTTGTGGTGAACCAGGTTGTGGCATGCCATCTTCAATAACATCCAAAGCCTTTCCTGTTCTAACCAACGACCAAGCCCAATCAGTCAAAGCAGAAGGTTGACCATCATTGTTCATCTGAAGCGCCTTCCTCCCACTCAAAAGCTCAAGAAGCACAACCCCATAACTGAACACATCACTTCTCTCTGTCAACTGTCCATATAAAGCATATTCCGGAGCAACATACCCCATGGTTCCAGCCACCCTAGTGCTCATATGCGTCATCCCCTCCGGGTTAAACTTCGCTAGTCCAAAATCTGCAACCTTGGCTTCAAACTTTTCATCCAAAAGTATATTACTTGCTTTAATATCCCTATGAATGATTGCAGGCTGAGCCCCATAATGCAAATAAGCCAACCCTCTAGCCGTGCCTAGAGCAATTTGCTGACGAATTGGCCAACTCAGTTTCACCCCATTGGAACCAAACAAATGATCATGGAGACTCCCGTTTTTCACCATATCGCAAACAATAATCCTCTGGTAACCTTCTAAACGAGTAGTGACAGAACAATAACCTCTCAGGGCAACGAGGTTAACGTGCCTCACGCTGGCAATAACCTCAACCTCATGAGTAAAACTGGCATCACCAGAAGCCGAACAATTCTTGAACCTCTTAAACGCAACCTCACTCCCATCAGGAAGCAACCCTTTGTACACATTCCCGTAACCCCCTCTTCCAACTATGTTATCCCGGGAGAAATTCTTAGTCGCCTTCTTGATATCATCGAAAACAAACTTGATCAAAGTGGTGCTCTGCTCCATGGAGTCCAACCCAGAAACCAAACCGATTTCCGCAATACGAAAATCCTTATCCCGGGCCACCTTCTCTTCCAACTTGCGATAAGCCCAAAAGCCGAGAACCAGCAGGGAGAAGACCACGACACAGACAACAGATACAAGAGCAATAAGAAGCTTTCTTTTTTTGGCGGCGGAGGAACCGGCGGTGGGAAATTCGAGGGAGAACAAGCACTTGGCGGTGCCGGGGTCGGAGGGGCCGAGGAAATTAGTGAAGGCGGCGGCGTAGAGAGAAGAGTAGTCGGTGCAGCTGGTGAGGTTGCCGACGGACTGTCCCAAGGGTGGGATGGCAGCCATGGAGGAGGTGCAGAGGGCGCAGGGGGAGTTATTCTCGAGCGATTGGTTGCACTTATTTTGAATGCCCTGAAGCGCAGATTGGGGAACCAGGTCTTCGAAATCTTGTTTGGTGGTGACGTTGACGCAGCCTTGGGAGATCCACGAGGTTTGGAAGCCGCAGTAGGAGCGAATGTCGAAGGTCGGGTCGAAGCGGTTTACATAGGACTGAAAGTTTTCCCAGCAGGAGTCGGAGGCATTGGAGGGAGAGAGGAAGAAGCCGCTGCGGCGGAGGTAATCGGACTGGACGAGGTGGAGGGCTTGGCTGGTGACCCGGCACCGGGAGGAGTCGAAAGAGGAGGGCTTGGTAGTGCCAAGGACGGTGAAGTTGAGGGGACACGTAGCGGATAAGGAAGAGAACGGGAGAGAAAGGAGGAAGATGAAGAAGAGGAAGAAGGGGTTGACGGGAGTCATGGAAGTGGAGGAGGGGTTGGTGAGTTTGCAAGGTTGAAGTTGAAGATTGTGAGATTAACATGCGAGGTGAGAGTGAGAATTGGAAGAAAGGTAAGAGGGGTTGGTGTTATGATTTTTTTGACCATGGTAGGGTAGATGGTGTTCCTGTGATTGATTACTGAATACAAAAATAGTTATAGCAGACACAATGACAGAGGCTGGGTTGCTTCCGCGAACTCAACTCAAACTACTTCGTCTTCTACCACTTTGACTAACAGTAATCTACACACAATCATACAATCATGTATGCCGGATCTTCCTCTTTCTCTTCCGTATCCATCGCCATCCATTCCTCGCCCACTTTTTTTTGGTTCCTCTTCTTCCCTTTCAACTATATTTTCAACGTCTAGAAGCCACTAACCAAAACTTCAATTGGTTACTCCTCCTGCATCCAATCTACACGTCACTAACACAGCACGCCAATCTACTTTGCACCAACAATACCTTCCTCTTCTTTCTCTTGCGTCATCCATACAAATTTATACGTTTAATTAACAAGTTATCAGACAATATTATACTATCATCTTGTAACAATTTCCAGCTTCCATGTTCAAATGTGTTTTGTCTCAAACCTAAGTTAACTTGGATAAAATATTTTGCAATTATTAGAAAATTTGAATACAGTGAATTTTTTTTTAAAATAATTTAATGTTTTAAATTATTTGATAAAATAATTTCAATTTATTGAATTTTTTTTATAAATATTTAAATTAAGTCTATTTCATTGTAATTTACTCTTATACAAGGAAGTCAGGTTGTATCAATATTGATTATATCAACTACATCAGATTTATTAAGGCAAACCAAATTAATAAATCGAAAATAAATTGTATAAGGTTAAGAATGTTGAATAATGGATTAGATTCACATGATGAGATTAAGTGTATCCGAATAGGTTTAGTTTGATGGATCGATTCGAAAGGTCTAAGAATAGGTTAAAAAAATTTGTGACCTAAATTAAATCAAACATATTTTGACTTAATTCATTTAGGTTATGATCTACATGACTTCAAAGCATGATAGACTGATACGCTTATGAATAGATTCTTTTTATAAAATAATAATAACTTTTTAAATAAAAATAAAATGATATATATATATATATATATATATATATATATATCATATAAATTAATTTGAGCATATTCACTCATTCTATGATAAATATAATGAGAAATATCTAATATCTATTTATTTCATAATCTAATGATTAAATAAATTATTATTTTAGATTAATAAATCACTAAAAAATTAATGATGATACTTGAAAATAATTTTTAACTCTTATTTTGGGACTAACGAATCTCTTCTTTTATAATTTACATATTAAATCATTATATTTAAAATATAAAATAATTTAATTTTTATTTAAAATTTTTTAATTATTTAATTTTATATACATACGTTAATAATTTTTTTTAATTTTCAATCAAGTCAAAATTAGCCTATTAGCCCATTAGTCTAACATAGGGTTAGGCTAATCCAAAAGTGATGACTTGTTAGGTCATGTTAGTCCATCATTTTTTTTTTATTTAGCCCGTAAGACTGGGTTAGACTAGGCTAGATTGTCTGTTTTAACAGTTGTATATGAGATGAGTCAAGTTGTGTCGGATTTTGTTGAAATAAGTCAGGTTGGTTTAGATTGGATCTAGATGAATCAAATCATGTCAAGTTGAGTTAGATCAAGATGTATTAGGTTGAGTCATAATCGAATAGGATAAACAAAGATGAGATAAATTGATTCAGATCAAGACAAGATATCTCGAGTAAAGAGGAGTCAAATTAAGATGAGATAGGTCAAACCAAGATTAGTCAAGTTGAAATAAGTTGGATTTGGTAACATACCTACGATTAGTAATTAGGCCAAACCTAAATAGAAAGGGTTGATCAAGTTAAAATAAGTCAAATTGGGATAGGTTGGACCAGGTCGAAAACATTCAAATCAAGATGATTTGAGTATGGTCAAAACATGTCGAATTGATTCAAATTAAGTCATGACAAAACAAGTCATACCAAACTAGGTTATGCTTACGTGAATTAAATGGTCTATAATGGGTCAAGTTGAGTCTACTTAAATTTAAAAGGGTTAAGATGAGTCAAAAATATCTTATTCGAGATTGAATAAAAAACAAAATATGAAAAAAGGAAAAAAATAAAAAAAAATGACAGTGAATTATAGATTTTTATTTTTAAGTAAAAATTAAAATAATCTTATAATCAAAATATTATCATAATTTTTTAGAATTTTAATTAGTTTCTAAATTTTTTATCTAAACAATCAATTTTATCATAAATGTTTTAAATTTTTTATTAGATTCTTTATTAGAATGATTTAACTTTTATAAATTCTTATAAAAATATTCTAAACCTTTTAAAATCAATTTGTAGAATGTGTTCTTAAATTAATTTATCAATTATCTCTCTTATAACTAGTTATTACTTGTCACTTAAATTGAAAAGTAAAATGAACGAGAAAGAAGATGAATCGATAGAGTCCTATTTAGAAATAAAAAGAATATGGTTTAATGACATCTTAGTGATTCGTTTAAAAATAATTAAGTAATTTGGAAGGATAAAAAAGAGATATTATATAAAAAATGTCTAAAATCTGAACCTAAAGTGTAATAAAAAAGATTTATTCAAAATTATGTTTTGTTCAATACTTTTTATGTCTCACATTTAGATCAAGATTATGCTAAAATTATGGGTGAATATTAGAACGATTATTATTCCCAATATATAGAGGTATGTTGCAACTAAAGTCTTTAAAAAGATTTTTTTAGTAATTAAGACAGATAATTTAGTGTTATGCTATTTTGTTATCCTGGTGTTTATCGTATATTTTACAAGTCATTCTTTACGTTTTGTTTTCTTACTTCTCAAGTTCCGTTCTTGATATTCTTATTTTTAAGTGATAATTTGTAATTTTACACACTAACACCAAAACATAATTAGTCGATGCCTCAAACTAACCGAGATCAGTATATTATTCATGTGTAAGATTTTATGCATATATGAAAGATACTTCACATGCTGAGAGTCTCATAAATAAATAATAAATAGATAGCTAAAATAAGAACATATTTTGATGAGAATAATAGTTTTAAAAGGATGAATGTTAGTTATAAGGTCATTTTACTCATATAAACCGATGTTCTTTTTATATTTCATTCATCAAGAAATATTGAACATAGAATGGTAAGTGAAAATGATTAAATCTTATTTAACTTTATCTTATTTAATTATTTAAATAGATAAGCACTCAAGAGTATTAAAGAATACCCAAGAGCAATTTTGCATTTAGAGAAAGGTACATATTTTCTAAATGTGTTCAAAGCTTTGTTCAGAAATTATATATGAATTTTTTTTTGCTAAATTATGTTTATTCTAAATTTTTTATGAATCTAAATTATGAAATTTAGAAATTTTTATTTTATCGATATTTCTATATTGTGCGTATGAAACGGAGTCGGATTAAATAACTAATGTTACGTTCTATAATTAATTGAAAGTGTCAATTACAATTATTTTACTCGTATAATTATGCTTGAAATACATTGCATGTAATTTATTGTGAATATTAATAAGTGACTTTTTCGATTGATTTTCATTGAAAGTTAGTATAGGATTGCTTGATCCTATTTATATATTTTGTTTCTACTCATTGTACAATAAGCGTGAAATAATAATAATAATAAAAAAAACAATGTCTCAAAGATATACCTCGAATATTATTATAAATTATTTCAACATATTGGAAAACACAAGGAGTATTAGAGGAAAAAGGAAGGGTTTTACTTTTAGTCAATATGAAAACAAAACAAGAAATAAATTTAGCAATAACAATATTTTTATTTTTCAACAAACTAGATCAAGGGAGAAAAAGGTAATAGAATTAGGATGACCAATTTTTTAAATTTAATTCTCATAAAAATTCAAAATATTATTGAAAGAATAAAACATTTGACAAGGAACAAACACGAGAAGAATTTATGTTCTTTTTCTCTTATATTTGTTATTTGATGATATCTCATTTGTTAGTATTTTTCCTAGTTAATAAAGTAAAATTATATTTTTTTAGGTTCTTATTCTATTATATTATATTAGATTTGTATTTTTAGGAAAAAATATGCAAAATCGTAAAAATATATTAATTTCTATATTTTAACATAACTTTCTATATTACTTCGATTTCTTCAATGACCAGTTTCGACATTTGTCTCTTCTTTGATTTATATCTTTTTATACAGAACTCCGATTGAGTTGATTCTTTTCTATTTGGAAACTAGACATCTTAAGATTCAATTTGAACACAAATTTAACTATTTTTGAAGCTCGGAGCTAGTTTTAATAAATTAGAGAAGATGGTGACGTGAAATTAAGATCCTATTGCGAAAGTGATACAAAAATTAATTCTAGTTAGATTTAGGACACGCTTGTAATTAGTTTTAATCATGGTTTAGTCAGTTTTAACTCTAGTTAACTCACATTTGAACCTATAAATAAGACATTTTTGTGCCATTGTAATACATACCGAATTCTATTCTTCAATTGATGTGAAGCTAGTTCAAGTTCTCTCAATTCTGGTTCTTTATTTTGCTCTCTCTTTAGTTTTCAGTTTAGTTTTCTTTTTATCTCTTTAATTAGTTTTCACTTTTTCTGCTTTGTTTAGTGTTATTCTTGCTTTACTTTAGTTGTTTTTTCAATTCAATTCCATTTTAAATTTGTTCTACACAAATTTTTACTTCAATTCATCACGTAATCATAGTTTGTTCACAATGTTATTTCCACCTTTAATTTTCATCACGTAATTATGCTGGTAGTGATTTGAGCGTGATTCTTATTGTTTTTCAAGCCTTAATCGGTTCTTTATTTATTAAGAAGAAGAATCACGTCTCATTAGTTAATTTCATAAAGTTTTCATCTGTTGTTTCACTGTTCTTGTTGTTTTACCATTTTAA